GAATAAAATGAATTTATGTTAATTTCAAAAGGTGAATATCAAATGTAAGCAATTGAATTCTATGTTTGTATCATCCAAACAGATAAAGTTTGCAATAAAATATTATATTTGATATTAAAGAGATTGTAAAGAGGTTTTCTGAACTTTATATTTGCATGGGAGACACTGAAAGCATCGAATTTGCACCATTCCAATTTTCAGTCAGACCTCTGTGATTCTAGCAACTCCACTAAATGTTTTATGACATCACTAATCAAAAGCTGCTTAGATATTATTAGTAGCTTTAGATTAGTGACGTCATAAAACGTTTGTTTTAGTGGAATTGCTATATAATCACGGACAGCTGTCTGAGAATTGGAATGGTGCAAATAGATGCTTTCAGTGTCCCCCATACACATAAAAGGTTTAGAAACCTCTGTACAATCCCTTTAAAGTGTGAGAGTCAATTTTGTGTTATAGGCTTACATTTGATATTAAAGAGATTGTAAAGAGGTTTTCTGAACTTTATATTTGCATGGGAGACACTGAAAGCATCGAATTTGCACCATTCCAATTTTCAGTCAGACCTCTGTGATTCTAGCAACTCCACTAAATGTTTTATGACATCACTAATCAAAAGCTGCTTAGATATTATTAGTAGCTTTAGATTAGTGACGTCATAAAACGTTTGTTTTAGTGGAATTGCTATATAATAACCACGGACAGCTGTCTGAGAATTGGAATGGTGCAAATAGATGCTTTCAGTGTCCCCTATACACATAAAAGGTTTAGAAACCTCTGTACAATCCCTTTAAAGTGTGAGAGTCAATTTTTGTTTTTTATTCTTCTGTCACTTTCCTCTTTTTAGCTGGATCATCAAATTTATAATGGGCCATATAATGATAACGATGGAAACAAGGGTGGGGACACATTCTAACTTTGCAAACAGAACATCCGAAAGTTGTGTCTACTCTATTGATGTGAACAGTACACTTTGACTGACTGTCAAATTTGAAAGGCGAATGATCTAATTCACGATTTAAACGTGAATCTGGATTTACAACAGGGCCAGTTGAAGGACGACCTTGACGTGAGGTGTACGTGCGTCCACCTATCAACCCGTCAATAACTTTGACAAAAAAGTCTTTCTGAGTTATCTTTGAACCAATGTTAATTTTCTTATATAAAAGAAATGCCTGCACCACAGATAATCTTAGTAAATGAAAAAAAATTTGCAAATACCAAGTTTGTGATTTCATGTGACGTCTGTAAGTGGAGACAAGTTGATCAGAAAGATCTACACCCCCCATAAATGTATTATAAATGTCAATAGCTTTAGGCTTACTAATGTCAATAACTGTTCCAAATTTATCACGTCTGCTCACCATTATATCTGTAATACTGTCAGGAATGTTTGTAAGTAAATTCACTGCTCTAGTATCCTTCCATGTAATTGCCAATATATTCCCTTTCATCCGCTTCAAACTTTCGCCCCGTTTCAACTTCTTCACTTTGTCACATTTAGGTTTCATATCCAATGGTAAGCCTTTCCTATTAGAATTCACAGTTCCGCAAGATAAAGTTCTCCTTGATTGTAACTCTTCCATCAGTTCAATACTGGTGTAGTAATTGTCCATAAATAAAATATGTCCTTTGTGTAAATATTGTTCAGAAATATCCAAAACAGTTTGTGCAGTCTTGGAAAAAGTTGTATCACCACGCATACCAGTATACGGTATTATATTTAACACATATCCAGTAGTCGATTCTGCTAACGTA